GGTATTTAGTAACACCCTTATTTTAAAGGTTGTTTTTAAATTTCCTTTTTAGAAACTTTGACCAAATAAATAAATTAGTTGACTTTCTATGTTTAGACTATTTAACACAATGGGGGTAAGAATCATAATAAAACCGAAAGATTAGGCTTTTCAAATTTTCAAAGATAAGGGTAAGAACCATAATAATCGAACTTCAAAACAAATTAATTAAAAACTTGATATTTGAGTCAATCCAACAATTAATAGAAATTGTGACAGAAAATCAAATATTTTAGGACCACATTAGAATTGCATTTATGAAAATTCCACACCAATATTATCATAAAGTTTCTTCATTAATAAAACTTTCAAACAAATAAATCAATAATTTATAATACAGTTCATGTACACTTATATTATCATAATTTAAACAAGACATGTACATTACCTCGGTTATCATAATTGAAGCAAGTTTAAACAACATAATTAGTATAAGAATCCTTAATATTTGACATTAAATAATATAATAATATAGTTTATCATGCTATAGTACTAACAGAAATTGAGTTAATGAGGAAACACGTATAATGGGCAAGTTAAAACACGTTATAAAATCTAAACAACTCAATCAATTAATTAATTATCTAAATCATTTTAACTTATCTTATCATCAAATCACAATTATTCAAAAAACTTAAAATGACATTTAATTACGACACATGTGTGTTAATTGGTCATCTTTCTACACGGATAAAAAATCTTAACAACTGAACAAATTAATTATTTTTCAAATCATTTGGACTTATCATATAATCAAAACACAATTTGTTCAAATTCTTATTTTAAATTAATCTAGACATGGATGTACGAACCACAATATATGTGATCAATTTGTTTAGAAACGTTCATTTTCTGCAGGTAAAAAAAAAATAAAAAAAAAATAAAAAGACGACCGACACGACATAGAGAATTGGTCGGGGAAGGAAAAGAAAAAATGAACGTGGATAAGTCCAAATGATTTGAAAAATAATTAATTTGTTCAAATTCTTATTTTAAATTAATCTAGACATGGATGTACGAACCACAATATATGTGATCAATTTGTTTAGAAACGTTCATTTTCTGCAGGTAAAAAAAAATTAAAAAAAAAATAAAAAGACGACCGACACGACATAGAGAATTGGTCGGGGAAGGAAAAGAAAAAATGAAATGAAAATCCTGAAAATCCGGACTTATGGCCTAATGTTTGTTTAATTAGTGTCGATGTTATGGAACATAGTCCAATACTTGATATATTTTATGGAAAATGCTACAAGTATATAATAAATGTACATATAGGTGTACATAATACTCATATGGAATGGGGTCTACTTGATTTTTTATTTTTGGTGGGTCTCACTCAATATGAGTGCTATTTACACCCGTATGTTCAATATTATGTACCTTTAGCATTTTTTTTATTTTATATCCAATTAAACAAATGTTATTGTAGTTGAATATTATTATTATTATTATTATTATTATTATTGTTATTATTATTATTATTATTATCAACAGCCATGTCTTTTCAATTTTATTATGACTATATACAAATTACCTTCGAAAAAGCACATAAAATATAATTTTATCGTGCATCGCATGGGGATTACTAGTTATTTATAAATTTAAAGGTAATTAATTCATGACTAATGAGAGAAATAAAAAATAAAAATGAGAGAACATAAAAATTTATAATGTGCGATTGGCGTGTGGTGTGGTGTATGTTGACATTCATGAACAAAATATCGTTGTCTGTTCTTCAGAAAGATGCATCACGTGGAAATATGTAAATGCGGAAAAGACCTGTCTCTCGAGTCCATCCATGCATTTACTTTAAAATTGTTAAGAAGACATCTCATAAAAAACAAATATAACCATAGACATAATTAATGTTTAAAAATATGGAAGAAGTAAAATCATAAAAAAAAAGGCAAGTTGTTGTTAGGTATGCTTGGATACAAATATTTAAAAAAAACCAATCATTTTTAATCATTCACTTTTTTTTTTTTTTTT